GCCCGTCATCCCAGGTGAGAACACGCGTCAGTGTCCAATACCATAATGCCATACAACGTGATTCTGACATGGAAGCAGATCATGCAATAGTTTTCCCTGCTGGGTTGTGATTGAATGCAATAAGCTGCTCTCACTGCCTACCACTCCCTGTATTGATCCGTACAGCTCCTGGTATTGATCCGTAACAGGCTCCTGTATTGATCCGTACAGCTCCTGTATTAATCGCGTAACAGCTCCTGTATTGATCCGTAAATCCTATATTCTTCTACAAGTTTGGTTTCCTGCTTACTTTCCCAGTCAGTGAGTGATAACACAAAAGCCGCCTGATAATGATCCCGATCCCACGCAAGTAATAATAATCATCAGTATAATCAGATTCATAACACGGTTCATTCCACCGTCTGTATGTTTTGACGTATTTTTATTAACCAGTATTTGGCAACTTTTCCTATAAATCACTTACCTGAGTTTATAAGTAATCACTCTTAAGTTTTTGCAGATTTTATAGATCAGTTTCTTATTCTCAACATTATATAATAAGTATATTATCCGTCTATATATTATATCTTATATATATATAGATATATATAGATATAGAGATAGAGATATATATATATATATATATATATATCTATATATATATAGATATAGATATATATCTATATATATATGTATGTATGAAGAAGTTCAAAGGTCAACCTGTAAATATTGTTCAGGGATTTCTTTGTGTTTTACACTTTTGAAGACATTCGACCAATAAAACAACATTTTTATTTTCTGATTAACTTCCTGTTGTTGAACCGATGTTTGTCCTCTTCTTCAGGGAATCGTGCGTGAGGTGCGTCAGTCGACTCAGCTGATGCTCAACCAGCTGCTGCAGCAGCTGCGCAGCAACTCGCAGCTTCCCGTCTGCCTGCGAGTCATCGGCTACCTGCGGCGGATGGACGTGTTCACGGAGGCGGAGCTTCGGGTGAAGTTCCTGCAGGCGCGCGGCACCTGGCTGAACTCCATCCTCGCCGCCATTCCTGAGGACGACCCCTACTTCCACATCACCAAAACCATCGAGGCCTGCAGAGTCCACCTGTTCGACATCATCACCCAGTACAGAGCCATCTTCTCTGACGAGGACCCGCTGGTGCCCCCCGCCGGCGGACAGCTGCCGGTGAACGAGGTCGCCATCTTCCACGGCTGGGTGGTGCAGAAGGTGGCTGAGTTCCTGGAGACGTTGGAGAGGGACCTGCAGCGGGGCGTGGGGGGGCGCCTGGACTCCCTGCTGGGTCAGTGCATGTACTTCGGCCTGTCCTTCAGCAGGGTGGGGGCGGACTTCCGCGGGCAGCTGGCGCCGATGTTCCAGCAGGTGGCGGTGGAGACGTTCCGCAGGGCCGTGCAGGAGGCGCTGGACAAGTTCCAGGAGGACATGAACATGTACACGCTCATCTCCCTGCCCTCGGTGCTGGGGGGGACCATCCCCCCCGTGGCCCCCAGCACCCAGCCCGGCACCCTGCAGCCCCCCATGTCCCTGCTGGACTTCCAGCCGCTGGCCTGCTTCCTCAACAACATCCTGACCGCCTTCAACGACCTGCGGCTCTGCTGCCCCGTCGGCCTGGCTCAGGACGTCACCAACTGTCTGGAAGACGCCCTGAAGAAGGTAGGCCTCCGCACGGGTCCACATGGGTCCACACGGGTCCACATGGGTCCACTACGAGACCAGACTTTGGTCACATATCGAAGATAAACCTGATGATTGATGTAAATTTGCATTTTGCTTTACAGATGTGACTATCTAGCTAACAGTTAATGTAGATCAGCTGGTGAACTATCGGTAATGACTGATGTCAGGTGGTTAGTTTGTTTTAGTTTGTCAGCGAGTGTCATCTTGTTTCCTGTCAGGTGACCCATCAGATTCTGGTGTTTCACCGGGCCGATGAGTCGGCGTTCAGCGACAGAGAGAAGGTGCTGTTCGCTCAGTTCTGCTGTTCGTACGCCGACGACCTGCTGCCGTTCCTCAACCGCTGCCTGCAGGTCCTGTTTCCTCCGGCTCAGCTGGCGCTCGTTCTGGGTGAGGGTCCTGGTTCTTCTTACATCAGTGGACCGATCCTGTCTCATCTCCACAGTGATTGGTTGACAAATAATATTCATCAGTATTTCTGCAGGTTTAATCTGACCTTTTAATACATTTCACATCCATACAGCAACAAGTACGAAGGTTTGAAGGTTGTTTTTGTGACTTTATACAATAACGTCCGATTTAATGCCTAAAGTTCAGATTAAGACCTCGCAGAACACAGAGGAACAAATCAGTTAAATCAGATGGATTTAATATCAAATATTTGATATATTAACTAGGTAACGGCCCTGTCTGTTGCCTGTTCGTTGTCCTACAGGTGTCCCTCCGACCCAGCTGCACAGGTACGGCAGTCTGGGCCGCATCGACCTGCCCGCGGTCCTCGAGCCTCTGGACTTCCTGCTCCCACAGAGAGAGATGGTGACGACGGAAGTGACGTCTGTGCCGGAGATCGACATCGCCGCCGAGCTGGGCGGGCTGACGTTTGAACCGGGAACAGATCCTGAGCTCACACCGGAGCCAGCAGGTCCAGAACCAGCACCAGCAGGTCCAGAACCAGCACCGACCCGGTCCGGTCTCACAGAACCGACAGAGGAACCAGAAGAGGAGACGATACAGGACGAAGAGTTCTCTTTAGAGTAACTGACGCTGATGGTTGATATTCACTTTGGACTCTGGGAGCTGGTGATGGAAATCTTATTTTTGTTGATTTTTAATAATAAATTAAATACTTCCTCTCTCGCTGGCCTGACTCTTATTTTGAAGGTTTAGTGTGACAGTGTCTGCTTGGAGCTGATTTTGATGATTAGCCATAAAGTCGTAACCATCCAGCCAGCCTGACCACGAGCTACGAGACAGTTAAACAATGCTATCAACATCTTTTATTCACAGCCTCATGGAGAAATACTACAATACCCACAATCCTCCAGTGTAGCAGCGTCTCTGTTTGTTTTACTCTGCAGGTTTGACCGAGCTAGCGAGCTACCGCTAGCACTGAACTGTATGAAGGTTTTCCAATAATGACGATTCCAGAGCACTACAGTCGATGTCACAGGACCGGCTCACTAACAGTCCGACAGTGTTGACACTTTGACTCAACGGTGCAGGTTCAGTACGGGGTTATGGGGTCTAAGTGAGGGGCTAAAAGACAATTACAATTTCAGGATATTTGGACATTTTAACCCATTTCCAGGTGTTTCCATGACTGGAAAACTAATGTGTACACTTCCAGATTCTCCAGGATCTGTGTGACAGTCTTCGGCTTTTTTCTGGATTTTCTGGAGAATTAACAGGAAACTTCGTACTTCTGTAAATGGAGCCGTTTAAGAGAGAGAGATTAAAGAAAGGGTGGGAAGGACATGTTCCTGTTTAAAGCTGCAACAATCAATCAGTCGATCAATCAGCAGCAGCTGTTGTAACATTTATTAATTGGTAGATATTAGATATATTATATTGATCATCAGTCAACAGATTTAACATAAAACATTCAGGGAGAAAACTGTGGTTTTGAATTTAAAGGAGCAAACGTGCTGAATGCTCCTTTAGTGTAACGTCAGAAAAGTCTGATGAGTTTCCAAACGTCTCTTCACTTCTTCTTCACGAACTTCTTGGTGGTGGCGTTGGGGTTGGCTCGCTGCCGGCCGCTGCCGCCCTGGCCGTCTCGGATGTGGAGGTTGGCGGCTCGGCTGTAGATGTCGTTCTCGCAGAACGGCGACGCTCCGGCCGCGTAGTCCGGGTTGAACACGTCGGTCTTCTGGCGGGCTTTACGGGAGAGTCTCTGCTGGGGGAACCGCTGGTCCTCCACCAGCTGGGGGTTGTTCCCGTGTTTCCCTCCCTGAGGCAGCGGCAGCGAGTGCTGGAACAGACGGGTTAAACAGACGGGTTAAACAAATACGTTAAACAACGAGGTTACGGGTTCAACCAACATACACCAAAATATCTGGATTATCTGAGCACGTACAGAGACAAGTGTGTGTGTGTAGTGTGTCTTGTTACGTTGGTGTGTGTGTGTGGTACTGTTGGTGTTGTGTGTGTGTGTGTGTGTGTGTTTGTTGATTACGTGGTGTGGTGTCTCTGGTGGTACTGTGGTGTTGTTTGTGTTCGTGTGGTGTCTTTTTGTGGTCTAGTTATACTGTTGTGCTGTGTGGTCTCTGGGTGTTACTTTGGTGGTCTCTTTGGGTTACTGTTGTGGCTTACTGTGTTTGTGGTGTGTGTTGTCTTGTTACTGTTGTGTGGTCTGTGTTACTGTGGGGTTGTGTTGTCTCTGTGTGTATTACTGGTGTGTGTTACTGGTGGTGTGTGTGTGTGTGTATGTGTTTACCTGTGTGGTGTGTGGGTTTTTGTGTTACTGTCGTGGTGTTGGTCGTAACTGTGTGGTGTTGTCGTTACTGGTGGTGTTTCTTCTCTGTCTTGTAGGGGGTTTTTGTGTGCTCACCTCAGGCCCTTTTTTTGTGGTTTCACCATTTGTGGTTTTTGGGAGAAATGCATCTGCACGTTTCCTCCTCGCACCGTACTGCACTTCTCAGGATCTTGTTTCTGCATGAGGACAGAACACTTTTTCATGTTGCTCGTCTCCTTGAATCAGGAACACGATGAGCTTCGACTTACAATCAATCATCTACCTGAGCTTCTGTTAATGGAGATTCAACCCAGAACACCTTCACTCACCATTTACAGAATAACAAAACGACTATTATATCCATATGAACACTACAGATCATTCCACAATGAAAACACAATTCACAGAAATTATCCCCCTCATTTTGTTTAGGAAGTCGACACTTAAAGCAGGCGTGACATCTCAGATGTAGTTCCTGCTGTTTGATCCACCATCCCTTCACCGGGTAGACACGTGGAGTACCGACTGAATCCGAACGTTCTGGGGAAGAATCCACTCGTTAGTCCATCGATCGCTAGCTCCTCGGTTATTCGAACAGCTTTGATATCTCCGTCTCTACCTGCATGCAAGTCGTGTCCAGACATCCACTTACTCCAGCGGGAGTCCGTTCAATCAGCAGAGCCCAACTCACCTTTTTGAAGTTTACTGGAGACAACCACCTCCACATCCTCCGCCTCTCTGCCTTCCTCCTCCTTTATCCTTCATCGGCTTGTCTCTTTTCCCTCTTCTGATTGGTCCTCTGGCTCCCTCCTCTGCAGCGAGTCCAACCGCTCCCGATTTGATCTGCATCAGTCTGCAAACATAAACATCAACAAACCAATACAAACAAGTCAGGACTCCACCATTATTGTTCGGTTTTATTTACTATCAACTTCAGTTAGCATAAGTTAGATAGCAACATACACATGTTGTTTTACAGACAGATCCAAGAGTCTGATCCGGTACCCCATATGTTATTCAGCCAATCGTATTGAATCCGTTTATCGACTTAACGTGACCAATGAACTCACCAGAAGTCCAGCAGTCGCCCGTCGGAGCATCGGCAGCGCGCTCTCCAGAAGGGAAGCTTTGAACTCGTCGCTTCAAGAAGACGTCTCGTTCTTTTGTTCCTTTAAATCAAAACCCACCGATCCTGACAAACGACACCACAGATTATTGTTATTAACATATATGATTATTAACAGATTATGTTGTATTAACAATTCATTGATTATTAACAGATTATTGATTATTAACAGATTATTCTTGTATTATACAGATTCATTATTTATTAACAGATTCATTGATGTTATTAACAGATTATTGTTTATTAACAGATTATTGAGTTATTAACAGATTTTGATTTATTAACACAATTATTTTGTTTAACAGATCATTGATTTATAACAGATTATTTTTGTTTTTGTTGTTGTGTGTTGACAGATGGAGCGTACTGTGAATAAAGACAGACTCCAGTAAGTCAGCAGCGCCGTCGTGACCGGCGGGGCAGAGCTTCTCTCCAGAAGTGGAACGTTTTGAAACTCTCCCTGGGCAACACTCCGTCGTCTACTTTGATCTTCGAACGCTCAGACTGTTCGGGTTCTGGAGGATCCACAGGAAATAAACTTGGTACATTAGTTGATTAGCTAACAACGACGACGCTAACAGAACCAACCCAGGTACCTTAGGGAAGTGAACCTGCGACGTACCGAGTCTCCGGGGGTGGCTCTTTGTGCTCGGTCGCATAAGTTCACCTAAACACAACACGGCTTATGTTAGTACCCTCGTCTTGTTAAATACCTCTTTGGT